TATAATAAATTTAAGGACATTTAAGCTGGTTCTACAATAAGTTGCAAATGCCCCGTCACCGGTCGCGAAGGATGGCAACTACTAATTGGAAAGCGCTATTTCTAGTTATTTTTAGTAAGACGGAGCATTCGCGACTGGCGACGGAGTATTTGCAACTTATTGTAGAACCGGCCTTAAAGATTTTAGAAACGTCCTAAAGATATCTTTTTCTAGATTTTTTATCTTAAAAATGTCTTAAATTTTAAAAGAGACATTTTAATTATTTAAGTGTGTTACGAGCATCCTAATATTGTCAAAAGCCCAGAAACATGTAGAAAAATTTAAATTACCCACTGGAACGGCTATAAATGCTCCATTTTATTCGGAATTTAAACAGCTGTTATTTTATGGCAGACTTATGGCCGGTTTATGCTTCGGTCTTAATCTTAATCTTAAGAGTTGATAACGTAGAATGCCATAAGGGCGTTTATACTTCCCTAGTCCTAGTCTTAATCTTAGTCTTAATCTTAATCTTGGAAAGATCCTATCTTTTAACTTTAGTCCCTAATGTCCTAAGGCCGGGCCAATGAGGTAAGTCTGACGTCCGACGCAGCACGAAACCGCGCGAAATAATGGTTTTCGATTCTTGTAAAATACAAAAATGAGTGATGCTGATTTAATTGAATGTGTCCAACAATTCGATATTGTTTGGAATAAAAAAAATCCAAATTATAAAAATAAATTAATGGTTAGGTTTTGTTACATTTGCACATGCGTAGTCCGAATTTCCAGGGAAGCATAAACGAGTCCTTAAGATTAAGTTAAGACTAAAACTAAGATTAAGATTAAGATCGAAGCATAAACCAGCCATTAACTGCATGTTTCCAAGCAGTCATCAAAAGATTTGAATCTATTTTTATTTCCTTTAAAACCACCGAATCTAAAAGGTTCACATGTTCCCACATCCTTATTAAACCAATATCTCAACACCATTGCGCAAGGCATGATGCAATACCCAAAGTCGTAAGGCTTATTACAAAAAGCAGGCCCTAAAAAAAAAAAATGCATTGTGCAAGAACTTAAATCATAACGCATGCAGTAAACTATGAAAAAAAAACATCAATTTATAAACAGTTTAATATTTATTCTATCTTTCCAGTAAAATTAAACTGACAATTCTATATTTCTGATATTTGTAGCAATTTATGATATTAAATATATGCGTTAAATAATTATTATTAATTTGAGTTCCTTTAATTATATGGAAAGTATTATAATAGCAAATAAAATATTACCGTGTGTGTACAATGTGAGACAAATAAAACACTTACTTCTAGGAACGTCTTCCTTGTTCATTATATCATTTTTAATGTATTTCGCTATTCTAGCACGTGGGTATACAATGCTAAACATGCTGAAGGTAACAAGTACGATTAACAATCTTATTTTGAAACTCATCCTTTCGTGTGTCTTAATTAAATTTCTAATAGTTACGTTTGATCAATGTAATATATGCTTCTCTGAAAATTTTATTATCAATAATTGCTATACGTACCAATATAAAATTACATAAATTTAATTTTGATCATAACATCATACATAAAAAAAGATTAATGTTAAAACAAATGAATAATAAAATCCAATCTGATTTATGTACACGAATTAATAAGTTGTTTCAATAAATAACGTAATTTGTCACGCATGTTCTGCATTATTTAGTTCCGTCACAATTAAAACATAAGATAATTATAGTGTGACAAATTTTTGCATTATAGTTACGATGGGTTTATGAATATTAAGCACAGCACTTTGACAAAAGAAATTGATAAGGCATAAGATTTACTTATAAAAGAGCAAAATTTATTATCCATATTATGTCCAATCTTGTTGAATTATACGGAGAAAATTTTTGAAAAATAATCATTTACAGCACTAATCGCGAACCATGAAACCGCGGATTGAAAATTTTCACTGTGTTTCTCATGTGAATAACAGAGTAAAAATTTTTATAATTCCTTCATGGTTCGAAATTCCAGCCGTACATAGTAACTTTTGATATAAAATTTTCTTCGTGATATAACACATGTTAAATTAAGTTCTCTGTTTATCATTTCTTTTACTTTTCACCAAACTGCATATAACAAGATTGTTATTGCAAAAATGGCGAAACAAGAATCGTTTAAATAATTTCAAATCTAATTAAATAATATTAAAAGTAAGTTTAATGTTATGATAAAGTTGATTGTAGATCACTTACCAAGTTCCGATATATTTCTTTTCCTAAGAAGAATGGAGTTTCATGTGGCTGAATTCCTCGCTTAATCGTACATGCTTAAGTAAATGGCGAGGTCACGAGACGTTTGTCGCTCGCAAACGTCAAAAGCAACAGCAACGAGGATCGCGATCGATCCTTCGCTTATCCCTTTTTCTATAATCGTAGAGCCTGCGCATTGTCAGTTAATAACGTGACTGATAAATTGCGAATATCATCGTTGTGGTACACCGTACCCCTGACAGCACAGCATATCCAAAAGACGTCCAGAGAATATCCCGAAGACGTTTTTAGGACGACAGGATGTCCTCTGGGCATCCTTTGGATGTATTTTGGACATGTGTGCTGTCTGGGACGGTAAAGCTTTGAGAGGCCTATTGCAAATTTCACAGTGCTTGCAAAAAATATTTGCTACAATGGTAATCTAAACTCATCTAAGTACGTGTATATTGCTTAATATTTCAATAATTTCGCAGTAATATTACACATTTTGTATTGTTTTATTTTTTAATAAAATGTTTTTTTTGCATTTCGACACACATATCATTTACTTTAATTACCCAGAAAACATTATGCCCATAAATATCTAGCAACTCACGTACAAAAATGGCTCATACTGCACACACAAAACCTTATCCTAGTGCGTTGTCATAGCGGTAGCAAAATGCTAGCACACTTGCAAAACGCTTGCACTTTGCGAACAATACATGACTTATACACGACTAAACATATCCCACGAGCAAAATTCAGGCAAACTGCTACACAGATTATTTGCATAAGACGCGCAAACTTTGCGCACAAGAATTGTTATTTGGGTACATTGTTTTAATTTTAAGATTAAATTTTATAGTTTGCTTCCAATCAATTGAAACTAAGTTTCGCGGAACTTTTACATTGAATGTCGTCTATAAATTATGAAACGCTTTGTTCAATTTATATAGAAAGTGAATAGAAAGAACAAAATATTCCAAAATCAAATAGGTATCCCAAGAATCATTGGTTGTTCTTAATTAATGTTACATGTTTTAATGTTATTAAATTATTGTACATAGTATTATGTATTCAGTGTCTTTTAAAATAAAAAAACATAATAAAAAAAGTTTTATAATAAAAAAAGTATAACAAATATGGAAAAAACGGTTCGGTTTTTCTTACACATATATTTTAACGGATTTAATTTTTTTACCGTTAATTCTTATAAAAATAAAAAACTTGTATGAATATCTGATCAAAATTTCATACAGTCTTACGTTTCCATTTAAAAACTGTCTGAGCGTGTATTTTTCCGCAGAAGGTAAACTTTTCGGCACAAGCGTTTATTATTGAATTTGTTAGCATTACGAACACAACCTTTCACATAAACATTCTACATATATTTTTTTTTGGCATAATAATGTTTCGTTTGAAAGGATCTACATCTTAATCATAATCGCATCATCAAACTGTAAAAAACGATACAATACACGTCAAATGAAGTATAATAAAAAACTCATCAAATAATCAATATTTATTAATTTTTATAAATAAAAACTTAAAAAATAAAAAATTTAACAATGCAAATAAAAGGAGCAATCGTGCAGCAATTTTTCTAGAAGATTTGATTTTAAAGAAATCAAGTGTAAATATGGTTATTTGTTAAGTAAACAGTTGTGATAGTGTTAATAGCATTATTAATATTTATTAATTAACTGAAGCAATCACGGATATCAAAGAAGCAATTAAAGAAAAATTTGTTGTATGTTTAACATGATTACTTTTTTTCCAGCGCCAACTTATTACAGGTGATTATGCTTTAATAACTAAACGGTTTTCTTTACTACCGCTAGATAGCGTCTGTGTTGAAGTACCAACTGCGTAAGATTTGTTTTTTAGAGACAAAATATCTGTAGATAAAATCCCTAAAATGTGAATTCTCCTATTGGACGTCGAAATAACGAACACTGTAAAAAAATCTTCATGATTTTTGGACTTGTTTTTCCATCTACATAAACCGCATAATCTATGCGATATCAATTGAAGTAAAGTTGATGTAGTGTACTTACTGGCAAAACTTTTAATTTTGATAAGACGATTTTATAAAAGGACGCGTAAAATATTAATCAGGTGAACAGAGACGAGTCGAAGAATATATTCTCTCGGCGTTAAAACGTGTATCTTAAGATGGGTGTGCCGAAATTCTTTAGATACATAAGCGAGAGGTACCCCTGTCTCAGCGAGGTCATAAAGGAACATCAGGTATTTGAGAGACAAAAAGATGCTTTCCTGTCGTATTTTATCACGCAAACTTAAACAAGGCTTTTTTTTTTTAATGTGTTATTGAGTACTTAAGAAAATTTTTACAATCTTGTAACATTCCTACTAGTTTATTTTCTGCTTCTTTCAGATACCAGAATTTGATTATTTATATTTAGATATGAATGGTATCATACACACGTGTTCGCATCCAAATGATGGCGATGTTTGCTTTCGCATTTCTGAGGAGACTATTTTTAAGAATATATTTCATTACATAGAAGTATTGTTCAACATGATACACCCGCAAAAATTGTTTTTTATGGCGATAGATGGTGTAGCGCCTAGAGCAAAGATCAATCAACAAAGAGGCCGGCGATTTAGATCTGCCAAGGAAGTAGAAGTGCAAGAAGCTAAAGCTAAAGCAAAGGGTATCTCGATACCTCAGGAAAAAAGATTTGACTCGAATTGTATAACCCCAGGAACACTTTTTATGGCTAAACTTGGCGAGCAGCTTAAACGTTTTGTCGAATATAAAATTTCCATTGATAATGCTTGGAAGAAATGTAAAGTACTATTTAGTGGATCCGAGGTATTTTTATTTTTGTGTTGTAATGTAAGGCAAATATCTAATTTTTCTCTGGAGAATTCTTTGGAGAAATAATATATAGATGAAGTGACTATATAGTGAAGTATCATTCAGTAAAATACAATATATAAAATCTGTTTTAGGTCCCTGGAGAAGGAGAGCATAAAATTATGGATTATATAAGATACATGAAAGCGAGCGAAGATTATGATAAAAATTCCAGGCATTGTTTATATGGTCTAGATGCTGATTTAATAATGTTAGGTCTCTGTTCTCACGAGCCAAACTTCTCCCTTTTACGAGAAGAAGTAAAGTTTGGTAAACAGCAAGTAAAGATGACTCCTGAAGAGACAAAGTTCTGTCTTCTTCATTTGTCACTTCTACGGGAATATATAGAGCATGAGTTTTCACCAATCAGAGATAAATTGTCTTTTGCATTCGACATAGAGAAAATAATTGATGACTGGGTTTTAATGGGTTTTTTAGTAGGAAATGACTTCATTCCCCATTTGCCAAATCTACATATTGCTAATGGTGCACTGCCAATTCTGTACCGTGCATACATGGAGGTTTTACCAACGCTAGATGGTTAATATCCAAACAAAACAAATATAGTTTTTATAAGTGTCTTTAATTGAGTAAACGTAACATTATTTTGTTTTAGGTTATATAAATGAAGCGGGAACATTAAAACTGGACCGTTTTGAAAAGTTTATGGAGAAGCTTAGTCGTCTAGATTTAGAGCAGTTTAATGAACATTACGCCGATTTGAAATTTTTTGAGAGTAAAACAGGTAGAAGGCCCAATGAAACTGAACGACATGTATATAAAAAATCAGAAGACAGCGAGACCGCATCTCCGAAAAAAATACAAAATAAGGATCTAGAAGCTCTAATTAAAAACACTACGGAGATGGTAATTATTTAAATATTTTTCGGCTGCTGCTATAGATAGATAAATAAATAATTTAACACTTCAACACAGACGTTGAGTAATTTTGACGAAGATTATGATGACTTTTTAATGGATATGGATTTAATGGATATGGCAGATGATGAGTCTGATAGTGATATATATAACATGGAATTTGTACAACATAAAAAATATTATTATATGAACAAATTAGAATACGACAATGTTGATGCGTGAGTATTCATATTGAACAATTGTACGCAAGATATCTATAAGACTGTAACTCTATCGTTTTCATGGATATATTATTCATTCGCAGGGAAGTTTTGCGTTCGCAAGCCGAGGGCTATGTGCGAGCGATACAATGGAATTTGCATTATTATTATCATGGCTGTTGCAGCTGGTCATGGTATTATCCGCATCATTACGCTCCGTACATTTCAGATATAAAGGACTTCAAGGATTTAAAGTTAGAATTTGACTTGGGGGAACCATTTTTACCTTTTCAACAATTATTAGCTGTATTACCAGCGTACAGCAAGGAGCTGTTACCAGAGGCATTTCAATCGCTATTGACAGAAGAATCGTCCCCTATTATTGATTACTATCCACATAATTTTAAAACCGATCTAAATGGAAAGCGACAAGAATGGGAAGCAGTTGTACTTATTCCATTCATTGACGAGAGACTCTTGCTGGCTGGTAATATTTTTTTCTGTATTTAATAATTTTGAAGATTTTGTAAAATATACTTAAATCTCTTTTTGTCTCTTTATCCGCAATAGCTATGCAGCCGCACTTGACGAAATTAACAACAGAGGAACAGGCAAGAAACAAACATGGGCCGATGTGTCTGTACTCGCATGCTGACGAAATTCGAAGCGTTCACAAGGAAACAGTATACTTTCCAGAATTCACCAGTCATGCTCAAGTAACATTAATGATCCGCGACGACGTTTTTGTGCCAAGAGAGAAATTAGTTAGAGGGCTGTCTCCAGGCTTTGATCTCAACGTTTATTATCCGGGATTTCCTATATTGCGGCATTTACAGCATACAGCGCATTTGGAAAAAGCGAAGGTACCGGTACCGTTAGATCTCAATATTACCTCGAATTGTAACAATTTCTTACATAAAGATCTTTGTAGGTAAAAGTATTCCAGCAAGCATCTTTGGGAGACAATATGATTTTAACCATAATATCAGAGAAGGCACCAAATGCGACGACCTTAGCGTCGAAGCTGTTAGGAAAGAGTGTGTATGTGGATTGGCCTCACTTGAAGGAGGCTCTCGTGGTGGGCGTGGCCGATTGTGATGCGAAGTTCAGTTTAATTAATCCGTTAGGCAGCTACGCTCCTGATAATCTAATCAAAGAGGAGATGAAGGGCGTAGTAGCCGGGGAATGTACTCTGCACAAAAAACTGATCAAAGAAACGTAAGACAAAATTTTCACTACTAGCGACATTACTGACGTAATAACAATTATTATAATATTTTATTTTTCCAGACATATGTCACGTCTTGGAATAGATTTAGGCGAGACGAGTGTGTTGCTTTTCACGCGCTCATTCCTAGGCAACAGGTATATTTTTGGTCCTCAGGGGAAAGTGACGATTGAGAAACAGTGGAACGTATTCACCACGATTCATGCTTATCAGGCCATAGTTAAAGATATTTCTGTCTACACCAAGAAAATAACAGAATATGAAACTATGCATGACATTTTCCTACCAGGAATCTTTTGTTTCATGCTCGGACATCCCTATTACGGTGCAATGGGAGAGGTACGATTGTGTTAGTTTTACATAAAAGTAGTATTGGAGAAATAAATATAGTAAAATTTGAATAATACGAAATAATAAGCAGTCGAATTAACTCGTTGAAAAAGCATATGTTCCTGTTATTTAAAAATGTTTTACGAACTTACAGATCATATCAAATAAGGACAATCCAAAGGCACGCGGAATCACAATTTCTATAAATCCTATAAAGGAACCGACGTTCGAGGTCGTTAAACAAGCCTTTGCGCATCAAAAGATTCGATATATGCACGGCAGTATCGCCGCTCAACGTCTTGGAATAAGTAGTCATCTGTTAAGTAGAATCACGGGAACTATTTATGTTATACAAGCATCGAAAGAAGAAGTCGCTAAATATAATATTGGATTGAACCTAAAATTCAATAAGAAGAACGAAGAGGTAAAAAATGTCGCACACGAATAAATTTCGACCATTTCTCCTTCTTTTTTTTTTTAATCTGCCGAAATTTTTCTAGATGCCTGGTTACACTAGAAAAGACAACAGTCAATGGCTGTACAGTACGAAAGCAGTCGAACTGATCCGCAACTACATGGTGAAGTATCCTGACTTGTTTGAACGTTTGGCTCAAAATGTAACGAACGACATTTTTCAAGAAGAGGAACTATTCAAACCGGGGTACGTATTTCCTTACGTTAAAATTAATATATGATAACAGTGTAATAACATCGTATTGCATTACAGATCGAATGCGCTGAAGGATATAGTCGCTTGGCTGAAAGTAGAACTACAAGGTATAGAAAGTCGCGCTTGCGGCATGGATGTCGTGGAAGCAGAATTAGTGAAGACGATCGAGCAAGAAGTAGAGAAATATTTGAAGACTCGGGATACTAAAGGCAAAGCGGTATTTCTACAAGTGCAGCCGGATCTGCTTTTCAAGCCAGGATTACATCCGTTACGTAACGTGCCGCCCGACCCCAATTCCCAAAACCGTTTGTTCGACAGAATTTGCTGTGTCAAAATCGGTTTCACCGTACCAATTGGCGCGAAAGGCACTATTATAGGAGTACAAAAAGCGACCAATCCACAGGACGTCATGTATGATGTTTTATTCGATCAGCCTTTCATGGGTAACACTGCGTATTAATTTTCCGAAATAATGAGTACAAACATTTTTTGCAATATATATTTTACACTAATAAACATTGCAGGCGGACTCACGTTAAATGGTTGCTCCGAGTTTCGCGGCTACCGTTTAACAGCCGCGGATTTTATAAACATCAGCTTTGGCGAGAGAGTGGAGCAAGGAAATGTGATGAACGAATCGACGGATTACCGGAAACAAACGACCAATCCCGCTTCTCCCAATAAAAAGAACGATCAGTCGAAAGTGTACCCGCAGATGCAACTCGCTAAGAAAGGACTCGAAAAGCTCAGTCGAGATATTCGTTTGGGGTTGGCAGCCCAGCGCAATGTGAAAGAATCGGGTCCTAAGATCATTCTGCAAAACAAAGGGCTACCTCAGAGTCCCCAAAGCGCGCCATCTAATCAAGCGTCCGAGTTTCAAGCGCTGTGGGATGAATTGCACAAGATACAGGTCAGTATAGTGGACTTGCGAAGTTGTTTTATGAATCTTATAGATTCTTATTATATATAATAGAAGCCGAGCGGACCACCGCAGAAGACGGTTCCAGCGTTCCCGATGACGAAAGTCAAGCCGTTTAACAATCACAACACGCCGGTAAATATTGCTGAGTGTTGTAACTCAAACTATACGAATTTCATTGCTAGAATTAAAAAAAAAAAAAAAATCAAAACGTTATGTCGTAGCCGCAAGATCCTAGCGCAATTTTGAAAGCTCTGTTGAAAATTCCCGATGCAAATGCGCAAACGAGTAAGCAGCAAGCTAAGCAATTTGCGCCGCAGTCTGTGGCGACGCCTGAGAAAGCGACAATTTCGCAGAAAGATCAAAAGATGGATCCTCCATCTTTAGTACAACAGTTGTTCGATGTATGTTGCATTAATATATATGTCACTATATATATATATGTATATTGTTTCATAATACACGTATATGTTGTCTCTTAGCGTGCTCGACAAACAGAAGAAAAGAAGGAACAAGCAAATCCAGTCTGGTACAGCACACAGTTATTGAAACATTTCTCTTACAACGGAGCTGGCATACCAAAGTACAATTATAGCGTCGATGAGAAAACGGGTTTAATTATCGCCCATATTATGCTGGAAAATTCTACAGTGTTTAAAAGCGCTCCTTGCGCCACTCGTGAGCAAGCCACAGAAAGTGCAGCAAAGAAGGCGTATAAGGTAATAACAAGTATACAAAGGAATTGATTAATATAGATGTAATTAATATAACTTTGTTACTATTAGGCCTTAAATTTGGATAAAGTGCCCGATGCAAAAATGATGATGCCACCTCGACAACAATGGTACAACAATCAACAAAATAACTGGGTCCAAAATATCCGACCTCCCATGGGCCCTTCGATACCGATGGGTCCTTCAAAAATGCCGCCTTTACCCTCGCAACTGTCCGTGCTGAATTACACATTTTATCCAAAATGGCAAAAACCACCACATCAAATATTCGCGCCAACCGCATCGTACAGCCAAAACAGGCACCAACAAAGACAACAGCAGGGACAACAGAGGGGTTCGCAGAACGAACCGAAGATGGGAACAAAACACGCCAACCCATTCGTTCCGTTACAGGCGCAAAAGAAGAGTAGAAACGCCAATGTAAAGCAAACTCCGAAGGAAACGAGTTCTAGTACTAAAAAGAACTCTAGCCCTAAAGTGCAGCAACAACAGCAGAGAAAGGAAGAAACCTCGCCTAAGGTTCGTAAACAATGTATCTTCTTTTAAAGCCCGTATCAGACAGTGTACACATTGGAGATCGAGATTGTGAATTGGAGAGATGAGAATTCAAAGAATCAAATAATCCCAATCTTAGCTCGCTTTGGTCAAATTTCGATCTCCAATTTGCAGTCTGTAAATCTTCAATGTATATTCCGATACACGTTTTACGCAATGGAAATCGATAATTAAACCGTGAATTTCTCGAACGTAGAAGGAGAAACAGGAGGTTGTAAATAAGATCAAAGAGAAGGCGTCGAGTGAACCGCAACGACAGCAACCGTCGCAACAGCCGCAACGACAGCAACCGTCGCAACAGCCGCAACAAACAGCGGGCAAATCGTCCAAGCCCAGGAAGTCGCGCGTCGCCGCAAAATTCGGCGCACCATCCCTGTCGAACGGCGAACTCCCGCAGTAAAAACTCAACTTTGCGTTCGGTGAAGATCTCTGCAAATTGTGTGTAAATATAAAAACAATTATATCGATCCATCGCCACCGCTCGTTTTTTACATTTTATAACAAAAACGTGAAGCTTTCTTTGAACATGTCCGACGGGCCAGTATCTCATCTTATTTCGGAAACTTTAGTATCGTGCATTTTCGTATTTACAAAGAAACGGGTGCAAGTGGTCTTCCCCCTCCGATTTTGAACACTTGCGCCAGTTTCCATTGTTAGATACGATCGCATGCCTGTGCACCAAGTAACAATACGTAGATCCTTTCAAATAATGTACATATACGCACTGAACTTGTATACGTTAACGTACAATGTGTAAAAATGATGTAAGTGGAAATTAGTTGACTTAGCATTCTGTATTTTGTCGACGAGTATCGGCGTGTCAACGAGACTAATCTTTACTATCTGATTATTTCCTTAGGACGATTTATTTATAATAAAACTCAGAAATTATTTATTCAGATATTTTTTTGAATAACGATCTTGATTACAATTCGGTGACGTATGCGCGAGAAGTTGAAGTAAAAATAAAATTTAAAAAAAAATAAAAAAAAACGAAAATTGTCGCAGTGATATATTTATGTTTTGCTTTTTTATTATTAATTTTACTGAAACACATATCATGAGCACAACTTATTTGTAATGTTTATTTTATGTAAAGAACAATAGATTTATTTTATCTAATAATGAAATGCGATTTATGTATAGAGAAAAGAAAGCGAAATATTGATTTTTACTGTAATCCGCGATGTGCACATATACGCGTCTTAATACAAAATATTACGTACATAACAATATGCGTTAAGACTTTGAGAAAGTGATATTGATTAAGTATATAAGTAGAAGCATGTATCTTTAATGATCTTTTCTGCGCTTTTTTTCTGTACAACAAACAACAAACAAATCAAAATTAAATGGCATAATCACCAACAAGATGTTTCAATTTTATTATATAATAAAGAAAGTGGAACATGATTGCTGAATATTTGATCTCAAATATTATTTAATTTTTCTAAAAATTAAATAATTTTAATAATTAATAATTAAATTTTGTAAACATTTTTTCAATAAATTAATTATTAATTATGAACTTTTTTTAACCAGTATACCTGATTCTACTTATAAATTAAAAAATTTGTGTTTTGTTTTGATTGTTTGAATCTGTTTTTATAAAATTACGCAAAATAAAAGTTTCACACACAATAGCTTCTATAAATATCTTAAATTTATATCAAGACAAAAAAGAATAAATATGTACATTTTCTCCGTGATTTCGTATGTTCCTACCATTTTCACTATGCATATCTTATCATTCAGCAAATGCAAAACCTTATACGAGATATAATTATGTACAATATGGAGCATTTATTAAGAAGAAACAAATTATATGTATTACATATTGTTTTAAATCGATTACTTCATACTTACAGTAAAACTTGCCAATGTTATACCGAAAGTTCTATTGTCATCACAGACCCGTTTTCTGACGACTTTGAATACTAAATTCCTTTAATACCTCACAAAGTCGCCCCCTATTTGTTCTCTCACGCAAAATGCGTGTAAGGTTATCTTTTTGCAATACGACGGCGGCGAGATTCTTTTGATTTTCCAGACCAGCGCGTAACCACTGTACGGTCCAATCAGGACATGTTTTGTTTAACGCTAACAAGACTTCGGCGTGAGGATCTAAATTATTGTGAGACACTGCTCCACCTGAAAGAAATAAAAAAATAAAATCAAAATCTAACAGCTCTTTTATGGTTTTGCAAAAGCATAATATCTTGAGATGCTCGTGCTTTCGCGCTTTTGCTTACCGACACAATGTAAAATTGCGGAGACAAGTTCTTGTCCGATCGGTTGGATAAACGTTTGAAGATGCGGACTCTGCATAATTGCATGACTAAGGAAATGGCCGGCGGCTTTGGCTGTGGCCGTCTCCGGAAGTGTTAGACAAGCGATTCCTGCGAAGAAAACGAATGATTAAAAAGAAAGAAAGAATGAAACGTTATATGTCAAACTTTGAGGATTTTTAAGGATATATCGATGATATTCGATACGTCCTTAAATCGTGAATGCGCTTACCGCATTGCAGCATGTCCGGTATTTGATCTGCGATTTGCAACAACATCCTGGCGTTCTTCTTACAGATTTGCGAGAGCACGCTTAGGTACGCCTCCATCAGATCCGACCAATCGGACAGATCGCCCTGCACGGATCTGCACGCCTTCACGCCGTTCAATGTTATCGAGCTCATTTCCGCGAGCACCGGCCCTATGATGTTATCCGGATCCCTTCCGAACAGCAGTACGAGCTGCTTCAGAAGATTCAACGCAGCCGCGTGCGGCCAGATCTTGTAGGAAGTCGACAAGATCGGCAGTAAGGGACGCGCTTCTATCTCCGGCTGTCGCAACGCCGAGAGGGATCGTTGCGCGCACATGTGCATCGCTTCTAACGTGGCGTTGTCCTGGCTCCACTCGGGGTGCGCGATAATCTGATTGAATATCGGTAGCACGCCGTCCAACACAGCCTTACCGATCACGCCCTCGATGGTGGTGAAGAACGTGGTGGCCATCTTCAGATAATTCGTCATCGCCATCCGCGCGGTGAACAGCGGCTGTCCGAGCAGCTCCTTCATCTTCGTCACGCATAATCCTAACGTTGCCTCCAGGTGCACCAGTTGCTCCTCCACGGTGGGCAACACATTCAGCAGCTTCCCGGCTGCGTACATAAGTCGCAAGCCTTCCCCGCCACCGGGCTCGACATTCGGTAAAGTTTGACTGATCGTGTGGAGGACGGACGGCGCGTAAGGAGCCAAATGCGATCCGCACTCCCTGGCCAAGTCCTTCAACGCCATACTCGCGAACGGCGTCGTCATCGAGCCCCGCGTCAGGCCTTGAATGACAAGCTGCAACACTTTCTCCAGCCAAGGTTCCGGATGCTCTCCGATCCATTCGGCATACGCACCCAATGTCGAGCAGGCGCACGTTAATACCTAATGAAAAAGCGAGAATTCGTTTGATGTACAAACACGCGTTACATTTTTAGTTATTTGATAATTAATAAATAAGAAGTGAAAAACGGCAGAATGATATAACATAAGAAATATGTATTCTAATCTAAAAACTCTTGAAATTATTTTATCTAATAAAGGAAAAATAAAGGAAAAGCTACCTTTTTGGATAATTCTACTTATTTCGAAAAGAAGTTTGGAGAAATTTGCTCGCACCAAGTGCTACAATCCTAACATTTCAATTACACGATTACAATTCTATAGCTACTCGATTGTGCGAATCATACGTACCTCTTCAGGGTAAAGATGATAAGGTATGTGAAGGAGAATCAAGTTTATCAACGCAGGTATATAGCAGTACTCTTGAGTGCTAACGCTTTCCGACAAAGCTTTGAAAGCGTGTAACGTGGACTCTACGAAGGTCCATGGTGAGTCTGATAGACTCAATCGTTGCCCGAGAAGTGCCAGAAGGTCATTGCCAAGAACACTGTAACAGTAGTCCAGTGTGTCCGCTGCGTCTTGCCTGTAGCATCGAAAGAGCTCGCGCTCATCCGCGTTTCCCTCCTCGTCCGGAGATGCAGGTAACGTCGACTTTCGCAGTAACGCCTGAGCCAATCGGTAGTAAATGGGCTTCAGCGCCTGCAGCGCTCGGTTCTCCAAAGGTTGATCCAGCGTCGTAAGGTCATCTTGCAGCGCGTACCAGAATCCAAACGGGATACAGCTGCGCGTCTCGTCTGTAGGATAACGTCCGCTCTGGTCCGAGCATTCTAACAACAGTGTGATCAAACCGTTGCTCGTTGTGGTGCGCATTTCGTCGAAATTTTCGGCCAGAGCGATCAGAAATGCTCGGCTATGAGCCTCTCCAATAGCAGTTAGTATCTCGCAGAAATATTTCGTACTGTTCTGCTGCGCCATCACTACCAAACCTTTGGCCCACTCCCAGAAAGTGTGCGGGTGTTTGTGAAGATCGTAGTGCGTTACAATCATGATCAGACATTCTTGTACTATTTCCCAGTTCCTGATATTTTCGTCGTCGCCGCTTTCTCTTTAATGAAAAACATTAATGGTATTTTATTAGGGTGAAGTTCCGAAAAACCCGCACCTCCGATTTGCTTCAAACTACGTTTTTTATTGTATTTTTGCGCGCTGATTACGAATATAACCATGCCGATTGGCGACAAGGTCATTTTCAAAGTCAAAACTCGAAAATTATCGCTTTTTTAAACATTATTTTGATAAATATTGATGTAACAAAAAAATGTTTCAAATAAAAGTTATAGCTCTTGAAAAAATACATCATTTATGTCCTACGCATATTTTGCATAGAACCAATATTTTTGTTTTGATATCTCTAACAAGTTTTATCTTTCAGTAAGTAGCACAACTACATACCTATCAGGTGCGTAATAACTTGCAGCCATTAATAAATAAGGATAGATCTGGCCAGTGGTTTCTAAAGGTAACTGACCAACTTTAAGCCACGATTGAGCACATTCCAATCCTAAAGAAAACAATGTGCTATCACTGCCCTCAGTCTGCGGATTGCATATTGAAAAGACTTGTTGCAAGAACCACGCGGTTTGGCACCAGCTGTTGACTAGATCGGCAACAGCTTCCCGCGATTTGGCACTCTTCACTTCATACTTCTTTTCGTACTGAACAAATAATTGTATTGTAATCATTACATTACATAGAAAGCGAAAATTAAGCATAAGTATAAGTTTTACCTCAACAGGGAGCGTTGAAAGCACTCGAAGCAGCAATTCCAATGCTGCCGAAGAGTCATATGGTAAAATGTCGAGTAATTCGTCAATTATACTTCTATCCTTTTCTCTCCCTCTTGTACTGTAAATGTTAGCCACAAATGCAGCTAACTAAAATTAGCATATGTTAAACAATACTTAACATATGAAGGCTATCTAATCATGTATGATATATATATATTTTTTTAAATACAGTATATATACAATATATATTACCGCCTGACAAAGTTTCGTAAGAATACATGTAGGAGTGTTGGGTCTTCTCACACTATTGAGCAAACGTTCCTTTAATATTGAATATTCTGCTTCAGACACTTCATTCCACTGCTTAGATATCTTTGTGTGTAGAGTTGTCGCCGCAAAGAACTGCGCTTCGAATGACTGCAAATAATACACGTCAAACATTGATTATCTAAAGTTGAATTGTGTAAGGTACTTGCTTCCAAATATTTTCAACTTACTTTCTTCTTACAACTACTTTTGTTTCGTGATTCAAAAGTAATGCTAAAGCCTATAGTAACTAACTTTATTTGTAACGTTACTGACAACACAATAACAAGATTGATGAGAAACAGAGAACTTTGCATCGAGGCAGATATAGTAAAAAAGTGAATTAGAAGCTTTATGAGATAGGCTAAACCGTCGAAGTTGAGGTGAGTACCTTAGAAGGCTCCAAGAGATGCCAAACAAAGTGCCAAGCCTCGGGGGAGGTTTGAACCTGTAGAAGCCACGAGTGAGCCTCATTGTTGCCCGCCGAATAGAATTGTTTGACTGCATTGTCGACGACCGTTGCATAATCCATTCCAAGCGTTTTGTGCAACGTTGTTTTGACGTTTCTGTGTTTGTCTTATTAGGGTAGCGTGCGTACAAAAATCTTCAACACGACGGCCAAGACTTCGTAACATGTGTTTGTGCATTTAACTCGTCTCATAAATTCTTCTGCATTCTGCCAGTTTCTTATCATCTTACATCGCAAAATCCAATCGAGCGTTTCGCATCTGTACAATATTATACATAACCAAACAATATGATACATAACCAAACCTAATCTAACTTAAGTTGATCTAACGACCTAACCTAACTTACAATTTCTTTTTGAGTTTGGAGCGCGCTAAATGTCAGAGCATGCTGGTAACAGAGCATGTAGATATAGGAGAAAATTACTATCAGACTAATTTATTTCAGTCTAATAAATTAAGCGTTTCCACGTGCAATTCAACAAGCAATTTTATTTTGCTAATCAATTTCCGAGCTATTTATAATTCCTATTCATTCAAAGTGTACAAATAAATTTCATGTATAGATGGTGCAGTCTATTAACTATTATTAGAAACTATATACACAATCTTAAAATTATATATATTATATATAAATATATAATTTTTTTATTATATAATATATATGCATATATATATATATATATATTCTATATATAAGTATATAACTATATGTATTTTCTCCTTCAAAATAAAATCTTTTTTTGTACAAATAAATTGTATCATGATACATTAATATTTTAATTCTACTATCTGTGCAATTAATTAACAAATGTCATTTCCTTGATGCATTAATAATAATATATATATATATCAGATTGAAGTATGCAGTTTTAAGTTAATTGATATTTTTGTCCATAGCGATCTTTGTATGGCTGCAAAAAGATCAATATGAACATTAGAATTGTCATGTATATTACCTATTTTATACACATTATTACATCTCTATAGGCAGTAAAATAGATTTGTATTTGGGTTGACTGTGTTTTACTTTTTTTTTCAAGATATATGAAATACGATTTTAATGAGCAAAATGAACAACTTACATACAATTAAAAATTTACTATATATATATACATGTTTCTTTCAGCGGGATTAAATGTCCACATAAAGCGATCTTCTTTCAAGAAAGTACTCAATCGCTACAAGATACTTGTAATATTTCTTGACTATTATCAAATAAAAAATATCGTTTTTCTGAAAAACGATATTAATATACAAAGCGTAAGGATCAATGAACACTTAATACTTTTTACTTTCTATGTAAAATTAAACCTCTAAGAATGTACAATCTACCCTGAAGTAACGCCGATTATTGATGACAACTGCGACGACTGCGTTTTGATTTTGATGTTGAATGCATATGTCAAGTAGTATTCACTTTATGTGCTGAAACATACAAAGGATACGTTACCAAATCGTTAAATACAAATTCGTTTCCAACACTTCAGCAAATCCTTACACGAAATTGGTATCCTGAGAGGCGCATCGTCCCGTATAACACATTCGTGCGTTTGAGTATGGAAGAGATACTGTACTAACAGCTGTTTATCTTCTCCCACACATGGATCGTAAAATCCAGGCAGTTGGCTCTGCAATAATATTTCATAACATACAGTTACAGACAATATTCCAATTTGGCCAATTACATATTAAAATCAAATAATTTATCAAAACAGCGTTATTATAAATCTTTTTATGATTGGACATTGGTAAGATTCTAAGAGAATACCTTAGACGCTTTGTGAAGAATCAATTTGGAATCCTTCACTAAACATTGTAAAGGAATTGTTACATCTATCATCTCGTCTCTATGCCCGCTCTCCTCCAAAGGAGCTCGATCCTGTTGAGGATACACAAACCGACCGTACAAAGCTTTGGTAATGATCAGTCCTTTCTTGGACTCCTCCTCAGCTCTTATCCTGCTGACGGTTTCCTTCATCAGTTCGGTGGCAGCTTTGGCTTCCCTCTGCTTCTCCATCATTCTAGACTTGTTCAATTCTCTCTGCTTTTCCTTCTCGCGCTCTTTCCGCTCTTTCACAACAGGATCGATTATGAGCTTCTTAATAACCGTCCAAGTGATTATTGGCGCTACAGTGGCGTAAAAGATGGGAGCAGGAAGAACTTCATCGCATAGATGTATAGGGAACGTGTACGCTTGCGACGCACGACTCAGTCTAATCTTTAGCGTGACACCGGTTGGCACGCCGATGCGTACAGCTGCCGAGACTGAGCTGTGTTCGGAGACCTTTTTCTCCGCGCCGTATTCCAGAAATGCACCAAATGTACCGGCTCTGTAAATTATACGGATTACGCAAAGTCGGATTATGCAAAATTTTTTTGTTAGCACATTTGGTAATACTAACTTGACACTACCGCGAAGCTTGAGTTGCTTCTCCTCCATCTTATAAGTATAATTAAGGCTGACGAAAGAATGTACAAGTCCAAAGTGGAGAGAAAACGCTGTGTACGATCGAGACGTGTCTCTCACGATCATAGTACTCATAGCTCCCTGAATGCCAGCTCTATACGTGAGATATCCCACCGTATGCTTATCCAATTGCATCGCAAGAGCTGTAAATTAAACAGTTCTCACATATCTCTGTACTTGAAATCTTTAATTACAATGTGCAAATAATATATAAGAATTATATGATTATAATTATGCTTAAGAAAAATTGTGATTGTACGTACTTCCTATGTAACCAGCTTTTACGGCATGCGACGTAAATTGCAGTATTATCGCTCCGTCGCAAAACAATCGTTTCGTCAATGTGCGAAATCCTTTGAGAGAGAAGGTTGGGCCGTTGCCAGCGCCTACTTCAACTTCAACCCATCCTTTCGAAGATATCAATCGTTTCGCTGAGACATTAATCGATCCAGAACCAGTACCATTTTGAGTTCCCAACTGACCAGACATAGTCACAGTGTCCCGCAAAGTGAGGGGTGCTTCAATAGATTGCGCAAACGACATCCCACTGACTTCAATGCATGAAAATAATCCACTGCTGAAAACAAATTTCAATTGTTAGTAAAGAGTTATTTAATTTTGATTTTTTTTTTATTCTTCATTGTCTTGTAGATTAATGTTTTATCATAATAATTGAGTTGACTGAACTTACCTATCAATGTAATCTTCATCATACTTGGTGAAAAGATCGGTGGCATTGATGTTTACCGTTACAGTACCCTTGGGGTTGGTGTGTTGCTGTAAACGTCTCTCTTCTCTCTCCCTCGCTAGTCTCTCATATTCCTCACGAATCTCTTGAGGTGTCTTTGTACGCTGCACAATTTCCCATCCTTCTGTTTCCAATCCACGAATTCCCAACGAATCATAAATTGCTCTCTGATGTGGATCGCTCAACACTGAAATATCAAAGATTAATTTTGAGATTCTTTATGCACATACGACTAAAAAAATTAAAAAATTCAATGCATATAACATACTTTTGATTATTGTCGTAGTTAATCATTAAGATTATAATACAAACCTTCATACGCTTTTTTCGTACGATTAAACAGAATCTCTGCTTCTTTTTTAAGCACCGGATCTGTATGCTTGTCGGGATGATAAAGTCTACTTTGTCTTCGATATGCATTGCTGATATCCTCAGGACTAGCCTGAAATATAAATATAGATTGTTAGTAAAACAGGCATGTGTTTATTTATATATAAATTTTATGAAAGAAAAGACTTGAAGAAAGAAAATTAAAATAATGTTCATAATACAAAAATTGAATAAATTTGCTTTCACAGTAAAAACAATTCTATTATAGAATATATAACATTCTGGAAGTAAAAATTGACAAAGCACAATATATCGATGTCGTTTCTAAGTTCGTAATTGATATTCACGATATCTAATAGAGAATCGTGTTAGTCGTAAGTGGTTTTAGACAGTTTTTTGCGGCAAGGGTTCTGTTACGTCAGCTTCATGAAACGACGTTGTCACGTGGAGGGCTCGATGCCGATCTCTACCCCTTTCTGAATCGGATAAAATTATCAGAATTATAGCAGATTACTAAGCTTTCTCACGTCTTTGGGGATGTTCAGGAAGGTATAGTAATCGTCCTCGATCGTGTTCTCCTGATCACTCTCGTCGTCCATTTTAAAACCTGAGAATTTTGCTTGTACTCAATGAGTCGCGAGGAGAATCGAGCGCCTATATTCTCCTAGCTTTTTACAGGTTACGGTGGACGGAACAATCGCAGGCCGGTAAACGATGAATTACTCTGGACTTCGTCAGATGACGCCCGATGCTCAACATGGAGCGCCTGAAAGTTGATAATATCGAATTATCGACAGTCGCAGTAATTTATGAAATTTATAATGATGTTCAATTTTCTTGTCAATTTCCGCATGATTCTTCTATATAATTATAACAATTATTTGATATACAATAATTATAATAATTTAATATCTATATTAATACATAATGATGTAATACTTCAATTATACATGCTCATATTTCGTTATACATTTTTTTAAACATTGTTCTAATATAAATAATTTTATTAATATTTCTTTTAATGTTACAGATTTTTATACTATAATTTAAAAGATTGCATGATATCTGCTGACGATTAAAATTGCAAATTTACAGATCCGAGGATCAATATAGACACAAAACCCAAAGTGAAATGTATATAAAATAAATTAATTATTTTATTGTTTATTATTATTATTTTTTTAAAGATAAAGAAGAGGTAAGATAACGATAGTACGGCGGTAAAATCGCGCATATCACATCGGTCTGATTGTCATCTTATCAGTTCATCAATGTTTTGCAAAGGTTTTACACTGATTTAATCACTTACTATATATAAATTGTTCCGTACTATCTATATATAAATATTCTATATATAAAATTATGGATTTATTAAGAACAAATTCTAAAACTATAAATCGATTTTGCTTTGAATTTAAACCAACTCGACGAACGTGCTTCCGTCCGACGCGATCCTCTCCCAATTGACTTATTCGTAAAGGGAGCCTTATATTATTTGTTTGCCCAATCTATCGTTCGGCATGGGTGGAAAGGGGGGAAAGGATTTTTACGAGCAGAGTACCGTCCTAGCAGGCTGCGAAGACTGCAAAGGGCTCCATAGCAACGTCACTCGCGGGTGAAGGGTAATATTGTGCGACGGCGGCTCGCCTTTAATGTAAACATTTACGCCTCGTGGCAACACTAAAATATGAAGCCGCTATTCACAAAACTTTAAGTAAATCTGGGTCCTAAATAATTTACGAGATCCCTCTCGACAGATGACAATGTCCCGTTCTACGTTCCGTCGTGGTGTAAGTTCGAAGGCACGCATCACCGGATATAATCTGATGTACGCTAAACAGAACGTTAATTTTTTTAATTAGTATGTTATCGGCAAGTGTAATATGAATATTAATTAATTAATTTGTAGTACAAATAAATTTATGAAAGGAAAATTCCAGAATTTAAACTAACTGAGTTGAATTGAGTTTGAAACATAGCTGGGACTTTTTAAAATACTAATGTCATAATTCGATGAAACAAACACAAAATTCGTAAAGCGCTTTAGAGTGGTGCATAACGTTGAAGAACAACCACTGATCGTACATAAGTGTTTCGAACGCGAGACGAGAAGCTCCCAGTCACGATTATACTCCAGCTATAACGTCCAGCGCGGAACGTGACCGCGTGGTAATCGCTCCTGTCTCGCCTCGCCGCGACAAACAAACGACTATAAAATGGCAGTAAAACCGAAAGGGTGAACCAAAGCACGGGGGAAGAGCGAAAAAGAGAGGTCAGTCCGGACCGAGAGAGCCAGTTTGCTTTGACATTGCCTAATCAAAACAGGAAAGACTCCTACTCCCGTTTCTTCGACCGTGCTTCGACACAAGCAAGTCGAAGGATAAAAGCTCCTTGGTTTGCCGTGGTTTATCGTTTTCTGATAACGCTTCTTTCGTTCTTTAAAAACACAATCCGATTTTAGAAACTGGAGTATCGGTATAGATTTGTGTACAAAAATTACATTTAAAAGTTTTTAAATTATCGCCACATTTTTGTTTCACGAATAATTATTTCATAATTAAATTTACTCAACCATTATTGTTTTGACACGCGAAGAACACTTTTGCTGAAGGATCTAAAAATTGTGTCAAATACAGATCTGAAAATAAATTTTGTTGGACATTTCAAATTTATCAATAGAGCACTCGATCTTGGTTGATGGATTGTCAAAACTTTTTACTATGAAAAAGATCGAGTGTTCTATTGATAAGTTTTGATTTTGATCTGGTACAATTTTTAGATCTTTCAGCAAAAGCGTTCTGTCCATGCACGCATTGATTTCGCAATCGATCTAAAAATCACAAACGCTGCTAATCATTTAAATTAGAATTCACGATATCTGATGGTGAATCGAAACAATACCAAGCATTTTTGAAATGATAGCAGAGATCGAATAAAAAAATGCAATGTATACCGAGTTTAAAGGATTAATCGTCGTTCTCGGCGGACCAATTTGTCGACGATAACGCAATAACGTGGGGAGAAGGGGGAGAGGAAGGGTGATACGAACAATCGAACGCGACCGGCCGGTCGATGTTGCTAAACACGGTCATTGTGCCGGGTTAACAATACCTCGCTATATCAGCAACATCGGCGTCCGTAAGTCCCAGCATTTGGTCAACAATTCGCGCACCCGGCCATTGCAGCTGTTGAAAAATATCCGGCCACGTTCAACCACCGTTATTCCCATTTGTTTCCCTTCCTGTCGCCAAACTCGCGTGATCCGCGATTTCCGTAGATCTTCGGTAAAGGAACTCTCCGAGGTAGATTCTAGATCGTAGGTGATTATGGGATGTGCACCTAAATTCTGTAAAATTAGACTGTCGATTTATATAATTTGATTTAATTGTTCTACAAAGAAAAAATTTTTGAAAATTTTTTTAAATAAAGAAATTTTATACATTTTAAATATTTTTCAAGTAAAATAAGTCAATAGCATATTTCTTTATAGAGTTTTAAATAAATAAAGCTATAAGATATAAATAAATGTATAAAAATATTTTGCATGCGCGGAGTTTTAATTTTTCTTTTTGTTTTACTTCTTTTCTAAATGTTGCGGTTTAATATACTTTAGAATTATAAATATAAAAGACGCGTTTCTGATGTAAACGCGATCTAATTGTAAATTAGAATGTTACCTCATTTAATTAAACAACGTTTAACTATCTAATACTTCTTTTATATGAATTCAAACAGCGGAATATTAGGACAAAATTATTTTCTCAGAAAACATACATGACATTAATATGATAACAATGTATATAGCGTATTAATGAAATGATCGAAATTTTCAATAAAGGGAGCGCATTTAGCGCTAAGTAAAATTTCTAATCACCGAATCTTGAAAACTATTAAACTCTTAATAAATCTTGCATTTTCAACATAAAATTATGTACGATTTCAATATTAAAGAAAATTTGGAAGTAAAAAAATAAATTTGATAATAAAAAGTTTCATGTGCCATTTTTTAACAGTTTTTAACAGTTAAGAACGAATTTATTCCGTTAAATTGAGATTCTAGGAGTAGAAAAATGGTGCGATTGCGTTTGCATTATAGCGGAAAGGCGGACGATGCGTTTACGGAATCGAAAGCTCACCATTAAACGATCAATTCCTGTTCTTTCCTAACTTACTCGTCGATGTGGTTCACGAATCAGACGCGAAGTTTCACGACGAGCTGGGGCCGAGTGCGAGTGCGCGTGGAGTCGATGTTCCAGAATGAGCTTTTGACCAATTGCACGAGGAGAGCGGCTCGCAGTTACCGCCCCAACATGGCGTTGTGGCTTCCGTTTTTGTTCCCCGCCGCTTCCTCACAAACGCCCACTCATCCCTTTTATGCTAATTTTGCGAGCTGTCGGCATCTTTCTTCTCTTATCAACACATAGTTTATCATCGTTTAATCATTCTCGTAATTCAGTCCATCTTTTAATATTTGTGCGTTCGCTTTCTGTGCATTACAGCATCATATCATAGGATAATCTATAAATTAGATGCATAATGTGATAACAAAATTTATATACAAGATGTTTGATAATACATTTTGATGAATATAATCCTTGTCAAAGCTGATTTCTGCTCTACATTTCATTAATTTGACCCATCTAGTCTCTTTGCTTCTTAAAATTTTAACAGCAAACAAGATTGATCAATTAACAAAGATTTTATTATTTAGTTGTTGCTTAAATTATCTTTGTTTTCAATCTGAATTATTTAATCTATTATAATTAAAATACAAATTGAAATTATAGAATTATATGAATATGATAAATTCATAATACGCAAAAACCATATTAGATGCTGCTTTATATTTATATTTGAATATAATATTTAATGAATTTAAGATATTTTAAGTATTATTAATTTGATATAATGTACAACATGGTAAGCTATTTACCGTAATATTATCAAGCAATCCGTGTCTTCGCGATATTGAACTTTGACGGTGGTCAGCGATTTCGATATGCGGTCTCGTTCTCTTGACCTTAATTCTTGACACGGATTCTAGTTGGTGATTAAGCGATCAAGCAAAACACAATAGTTGCTTAATGTGCCTGACAGAATGCGATGTAAGCGATGTAATTACATAATCTTCGTCCGTTGCGACCGATATTCAGCTTGTTGCAATTTTTTGCAAGTCGAAATAAATCTCTCTCACCAAATCCGTTTGATACTCATCTGAAAATGCAGCCAGGTTATTGTATATCAAACATCGGTCAACAAAATGCATACGCTATAATCTTATATAGACTCATAATAAAAATTTATATCTGTATAGGATGCCAGAATTTCTTCCGCTCCAAAACATTTACTTTCAATTAAAATCCTTTGCTTATTTGTTGAAGACAGAAGATTGTTAAGGATCTCAGTGTGGATCTTTGATACTTTTGAGCTTTGATATATATTTAAGGGGTAAACCTGTCATAACACGATAAGACAAGACGCGACGTAAATTGCGAGGGAGGACCGGACTCGTTCGAATCGAGAAGGGCGGTCTAAAGTTGCGGCCGAGCGCAAAATGCGAGCGACTCCGCCTACCTCACGTTGCACACGCACGCGCGCGCTCGCGGCTCGCCGTCGATCCGGTCGAAGCGGCCCCAGTCTCGATCTCGTCTCTCGTCTCGGTTTCATCTCTTCGCTCACGTCTGTTTTCGCGCATTCGATCAATCCGCAATCTCACTTTTGCGGTTGCTTGAGTTTTGCGCGGACTCGCGTCGGTGAACAGAGAACACTAGCGCAGTGAATGCAGTGGAATTTAGCGAGAAAATTTGATCCGCAGGATACGGAACAGGTAAAATACACAATTCAATTAATGACTTAATGCATGAAGTGCACCGAAATTTCCTTAATTACAATTTTGCACGCTCTAAATATAACTCCATGCTTGTACAAAAATTCTTATTTGTAAATTCATATCTTTACGGCATTGTGGCATTTGCATAGTACATGCAATTGCATTCTTCGGCAGTAAACGCATCTTTTGAAGTGTACGAAAGAAAAACACTCTCACAAGTGTTCTGTCATTGCGAGATACACTCGGTTTAATTTCGATTGAATGCACTGATGCCCATCGATGTGTAACAAAAGCTTATCGCATACAACTTTGACGAAAAATATAGGCGTAGTAGGAGAAATTCGGCAATAGAACGTTGAACTATTTATTTGTTTTATAATGTCTCAGTGATACAAAGGCATTCTTACGCCGTGCACTTCGGTAAGTTTGTCTACGATTTTTAATGCGCATTCGTGCATTCAGTTAAATTCGTTGCAATGATCGGTTTCTTTGATATTGATTATCCAGAAAGAGTAAACAATTTTTTTGATGAAACAAGCATTTCTCACAATTTCAAAACAAAATCAATTAAAGTACGATACGAGTTAATCGTTCTTGGCCGAATCATCAAACACGTTCGTTAGTTTGGAATGTGAAACGTCGACGTGTCGATGTTGAGAGAGAGAGAGAGAGAAGGGGAGAGAGGGAGAGAGAGAGAGAGCACGCGCGTGAAGTACGCAATGAATGAAATCCCGCATTATCACGAATCCGCAAAGTCGAGTACGGAGTCGAAGCGCAAGAAGAGTAAATAATTGACGCGCGAAGCGTGCCGAGCGATTTTATATAACATTTTTGACTATCTCAAAGAAACTCGACGTGCACGAGATCGTCAGGGAGTTTGTAAACTTCGTTCCGCGATCCGCTAACGATTTGTAGGGGTCCGCCGGTGGTGTTTACTAAACAGAGAGATAAATATTTCTTCTTCTTGCTGCACTGCGCCGTAGATAAGCCAATTTTTCTGCGTTACATGGAAAAAGAGTCGGCGCATCGCCGGCGCCGCGTGCCCTCTTGCCCGTTCGGGATTGTTCTTGTGTAAATTACTGGTAAGTACATCATCTTGACCGAAATACGTTTCCGCGCGATGCAGGATAGGTATAGTGATTACAATCGTTACCTCGAAGATAAATCGCGCTTGGGATCATTTTTCATTTTCACGCAAAACTTTGTTTTCACGAAGTTTTAAAAATTCGCGATTCAACTTTCCGGCAATTGCGCACCAGTCCGATTGATAGTCCGATTTCATACACCCGTGTACTTGATTCTCTAAGATTCGGTTTCAGATAAATTACTCGCTAAAAAATGCTAGGAAATATGTTACCAAATATGTTACCAAAAAATTCAAAATTTTCTTACATTTGATGATTAAAACTTAATTGATAACAAGTCTTATTTAAGAATAATTGATAACAGAAGTTATTTAAGAATTCTCGAGCAATTTGGAAATATTGAAAGTTATGGATACATTAGTACCCACAAACATAAACATCCAAGTCCACTGATTAACCGAGTATTTACACTATCTCTTATCATTCGCGACCTCTCGCAACAGACCTTTCGTTACAAACAGAATTACGACGGATTACGAATTAGTGAAGATATGCAAGAATATAATGTCGCCTAACAAACACGCAATCTAATCGACGGGGGAAGGATTTCCCCCGTCAACAGATATAAATATCTCCGGCTCGGCTTGACTGTACGAATGATTGATAAAGCGCTCCTCACCGCCGTAATCGCGGCTCTTGTCTAAAAATTTCCGAGATATTTGAAAGTACTTAAGAACTGGCTGTGTATCAAAAGGAGGGAAACGACCAAAGGAATCGTAAACACCGAGGGCCGCGCTGATCGAGGTGCAAGATATATACGAGTCCGCGGACGAGTTCTTGCGAGTTCTTTCCCTTCGGCTGGCGCCGGCGGAAGTCCCGATGAGTCCCCCGGGGACTCTGAAGTCCCTTTCCTCCCGTCGGCACTAAGTATGCTAAGTGTTCAGCTGTTGCGCGCTTGTCATCCCACCGAAACCGTCGGCCGGCGGCATAATAGAAACGTCTCATCTCGTGCCGGCGCTCTAATGAAAATAGTGCGCCGGTCGACGGATCGAGCGGCAGTGTGTTGTTACCGTTTAGAATACATTATAATCCAACTTTCCTTCCTTTATTTCTCGGTTTGTGGAAACGTTGACTCCTTTTGTCGATTCCGATATTTTAGCTGGTCAACCTTTATTTCAAACATGCCAATATACGATGTATATTGATTCTGAACGATCGGACACACAATTTTTGTAAAAAAAAGAAAAAGAAAAAGAGAAGATAATTTAATAAATTAATTATGCATTCGGGATTTCTTGGGATGCTGGCTTTGAATTTGTATAGTTGAAATTTTGGATTTCTGAATTGTGTGAATAAAATGTCGCAATTAGAAATTTGAAAATCCTGCTAGTGCAAAAGAAACTTTGTTTTCTCTCAACCTGGCAGCATCGAGAAATCAATCTCTTATCAGACCATGCATGTTGAATTTTTAATTTGATACTGGAAATGAACGGATCTTGATGAGTCAGCTGACCCAAATCGGGACAATATTACGTTAACAATTGCGTCAGCTATTCTCATCGACATTGTTGATTGTAAATGCTGATCAAATTGGTTACTTCAGAAAGGTAATGAGTGATATAAGCTAAATTTTAAACACGGTGTGCCAAATACTTTAGCGAAGATGTTATGAAGTTTACAAGATTTTATGAAAGACGTTTATTTTCTGTTGCAGATTTCCTGATTTCCGGATTTCAAAATATATTTCGAAACTGTTGCATTTAACTACAATGGACAATTCCTTCTGAAGATGTAAAACGCGAGATCGTAATATCGTACTTACTCTTGCGATGTACCTTCCCGATACACTGAATTCAGAACAATTTTAACTTCCTCCTGTGAATTGTGTTGGCGCGAGTGTTTTACTTACTTTGGACAATTCGGAGAGCATGAAATAAAAGCGTCGTCGCTTGACTTTGGAGTGTCAGTGAAATAAGATTTCGGAGATCCTGGCGATACCTCGGAGATTATTGGATCCCATCTGTGTCCAAGCGAATTGTGCAATTGTGGAGAGTCTGTCCGGTGATTGGGTGGAGTTGCAGCAGCATCGTGTAAATGCAGCGGCAACGGCCGACGTCTTTATGAATTACACGGATAGGTCCAAGATGGTCTCGCACATCATTCCTGTTTCGGGGGTAAGTAAAAAAACCCTGTAAAATTAAGAAAAGTCAATATCTAGATACAAAACAAAATTTGGAACAGAGAATTTCATAACTTTAGTTTGCTTATCGCTTATTATTATTTTTACTCTTGTTATTAAAACAATAGGTGCTACGTTTAACACATAGCTGATACAAGTATTATATGTGTGGTTAATACATTTTTAAAAGAATACTTTCCACAAGTACAGAACGTAAAAGATATATAAAATTTTAGAAACTAATCGATGATAATAATTAAAGAATTTTTTTCAAACGTGAATAACAAAAATCTTAGATATTTGAAAATGCTGAAACAGAACGGAATATATGGTTGCTATACAGCTTCATTTATTGTGGCAATAAACAAGCAGCATATAGCGTATAAATCTCTATTATTCTACTACATTTGTAAGACATTTTGAAAATTTGTTTTCCTGGTCATTCGTTCGTTTTTTCGTGGGGTTTTTCCTCGGTTCGCGAAACGACGCGAGAGACGATCGACTTGACGTCGTCGTGCACGCACTCGTTATCTCCCAACAGGGGAACGAAAAAGAAAGAGTCGGGGGGTCGTGATCTCGAAAATTTCACAACGACTTGCGACTCTTCGCCGAGATTTATTTCGAGGCAATTTTATACAGTGATTCCGAATTTTTTCGCGAGTTTATCAGGAACTTATTTTATCTAGATTGTGTCGATGAATACTCTTTGCGTCTCTACATTTTTGCATTTAAATCAATACATTTTTAAGACAGAAATAATGAAGAGAACGAATGTGGAAGGCGCTGTAGAATATAATTCTACGATTTATTAAACAAGTGTCGGCGTCATGACAGATTTCAACGTCGACGTCATATTATCGCATCGTCGTTCGAACGTCGTTCATTCCGTGATTGCTGAATGGATTAAAAGTGGGTTATCGAACGTTATTCGGTTCGCTAGCGCGGCGATCGGCTTCGCGAACACGAGTTAAAAATCGATAGCAACTCTGATTACCGTTCACTCGTTAGCTTGCTGTTCGAGTCTTCAAAAATTTTAAGATTAGACGTGAGAAGATAGATGCGTGTTAAATTTCTTCTAAATTCGTTATACAATCGGAATGCATAAAACGACTCTCTGTACATTTATATACATTTATATACAGCATGGTTCACCGTAAATAGAACAAGATCTTTAATATTGGCATTTTTTAATGGATTTTTTTGAAGATAAAGAATTGTGCGTAAAAATATTAAATTTGATAATTAAATATAAATTTAAAAAGTTCTTTTTCGACCGAAATTACATAGCTCCGTTAAAATTTTGATAAAGATATCGAGACGCTGATTTTGTTTTTAAATTATTAAGAAAAACTTGGGTTGAAATCATTTCTCTTTATTTATTTTTGTCGAAAGTCATTCGACAAATAACGAACGATAATTTTTTAAGCGATAAAATACAATCTGTCTCATTGCTGAACCATGTCGATATCTTGGATTAATTCATCATGAGAGCGTTCACGCAAACGTACATAACGAACATACGTGATTGCGACTTTACGGATTCTGGCCGGAAACGATAAGGTTCTCGGAATCACTTTCGGCGCGGTAACTGCCAAGTCTATTGCAATAATTTACGCCCGCATTATAATTTTTGGATCTTTTCTTAATGATCGCGCCAGACACACACTCGCTATGATAATTTTCTCGCGACGGACGAGAACATCGAGTTTCGCGACTCGATGATTTGCGAAGCGGTCGCGCGAAGCGACCTAGGTGCCTCATAAAACCGGATCGCAAATTAACGATCTAGCGAGACCGTAAGTTTTGCCACGGCATAATACGATGTCACAACACCAGGTCGGTGTTTGTAAGCTTCCGGCGACGGCACTTCAAACATCGCAAGCACCAAGCCAAAAGTCTTGGCCTGCCCCGCCGGGCTCTCCCGCTCTTTCTCTCATTCGTTTCTCTCCGGCGGCGGAACTTCTTCGCTCTCACGCTCGCCGGTGATTCTTCAGTTCGTTTACCTCCGTCGTTTCGACTTTACTACACGAGGTACACTATGTTTTAAGGAGTATTTTAGGGTGATGTGAATTTATATCTCGTCGATGCGCCATCCTTTATCGAAGATTTACGCCGTATACGTTTGCGCTTGGCAAGCCACCTCGACGGAACAATTTGGATCCGTTTATCGAGCGACCCGAATCACATTCTACTCGTGTGAAATTATTGCTTTTAGTATTTTTATTTGGAACTGCGTAAAGATTAACCTTGTTGTATACGTTGTTTGTTATGATTGATATATTCATTCATTCGAATCCTCGAGTTTTAAAAAACAAAACTTTAAAACGAATTTTCAGAAGACAGATTTCTTAAATTTGATATTTCTGATGTATGCTATGTAAAACCAATGTAAGACCAATGTTTAATCGTAATTCAAAATTCAATCAAATAGTTTGATAAAAATTACTCTAACATATTTACTCACCTATTGACGTGAAGCTGTATCTTATCTTGTTCATAGAAAGGAAAAAAAAACAAAAATTTATTTATTTAATGTTAAGGAGCTGCAGCAGGGGAACGGCAATCTGGGTGCTACAGGACTCAGCGGCATGCAGGACTCTCCCCATTCCTTGAAGATCAAACAAGAGCCGTTTCAGCTGTCGCCGCCGTCGCCACTGCCGCCTCTTCATCAAGGTATGTTGTTGTCGTTTTCATTGCGGGCCACCGAACTAGACTGTTCCGAAACAGAAAGCAATAAAAATAAATCAGAGAGAAATAAAAAGAGCACTCGGTATAATTAATCATCGGTTATTGATCTCTCTTGAAAATAATATTTGTAATAACGACATATAAACGCTACGAAATTAATATTTGAAGATCATCAGGGGCCTGATTTACATTTTTCAACTAAATCTCCAATTAATTTGAAAGTTGAACGAAACGTCAATAGTCCGAGCGACAATTTTTCCGGACAAATTCCCGAATCGAATGACAGGGCTCGGCGGAAAGAAGCCGAGCGGGTTGTCGCTAAAGACCGCGTTCTAATAATACAAAACTGTAGTCCCGAGAGTCGAGAATCGTTTCGTCGTCGTGAGGGAGGGCTCTCTGCGAGAAAACGGTGGCTTTTCTGAGGGAGAGAAGAAGAAGCGCGAGTGATATACCGCGAGAGGCCTGCACGCGAGAGGAGCCCTGATCTTTCCGCGCGGCGTTTAGTCACACACTCTCTTCTCGCCTCCGTGATTATAATCTCCTTCGCCACGTTGGCCGACGAAATCGTCGCCGCTGCTCCTAATTCCGCGGGTCGTGGAAATATCTCGCCGTTTATCTCACGGTGACGAAACGCGTCCGATTTAACGTCCGACGACGCATATCAAGGATTTATCGGCGGTAATTCATGTTGCGTTAATGATATTTCGGTTGATGTTAAGAAATTTTAATCAGTTGTTCAAGTTTAACGCCGACATCAATCCTGTGCGATCCTACGTCGAGGTGAACTGGATAAGTAATTAAACATGATTACAGCGAGCAAACTTCTTTCTAATATTTATGAAGTTTCCCGGATAACGAGAATTAATTGTTACGTACGTCTTTCAATCTGACAGAATTAAAATAAGAACCAAGTACTTAATATTGACTTACTCGTCGAAATTAATGCGAAGAGTTAATAGCAGAGAGCGCGCGAATAATAAAAGAAAGACGAAAAAATAATAAAATAAAACAAAATAATGCACGCGGCTCGATTTTTTGCGTGAAAAAATTATTATTAGGCTACCTAAATTATAAAGTAATCTTGTTCGATAAAACAATTTGTTTCTCAACAATCTCGTTCGACAAAATCGCGCGTTTGAAAATTGCACAGCGACGCGATCGCGCTGAGATTTCTTCGCGATCGTCAGGAATCTAATTACGTGGCATTTTTATCATTCTTCGCTTTCGACAGGATATCGAGACGGTTGCTCTGTCTTTATTGCCGACTATCACCGGTATATGATCACTCGGAGCTCGTCTTTCTGCGTACGAGAGTCCATCGGTCAGCGAGGAACATTAATGTCCGAGAGGACAATAAAGATATTAAAGAGGGAGAGAGGGGTGGAACGAGGGACTGTGATAAGTGCAGCTCCTTCGTCATTTGGGCTCGTGTTACTTTATTATTCGCTAATCGCTGAATGTCCGGATAAATAGATAGGCCGAGATACGGCCTCGCCGACACGGCTCCCGGCTCGCACGATTAATTCCGTCGGCTTCTTACAGGGGTGAAATCTTAGACGGGTTTCGATGTCCCTTGTGTTACGTAGATACGCGTCGAGAGGAGGTAATCGCTAATAGTTTCGAGCGAGATAAGCCTGCTCAGACCTGCAACAGTTGCGAGATGCTTATTCTCGAAGGACAAAATTAGCGAATTAGCGAAGGAACTTTGGCGTAATTTCTAATTGCACTATAAATTAATAATATTGATGCTCGACGCTGATGATCGTCACATTCAGTATTATTTGTTGCAATATTGGAGTATCAAATTCAATACTTGGACAAGATAATATTACATTTAATGTCTGGTATCGAGCTTGATATTGTAAATAATAAATTTAGTATTAATACAATGGATTAAGTTTATAATATTTTAAATAATAAATAAAAGATATATTAAATATTGCAAGATAGAAATATAATAAGCGAGCGACAGCGATATCATATTCGCGATTGAAAAATGTTAAATTAAGACTCAAATTATCGGCCGAATGCAGATTCAGTTTTACGACAGTTTGCGCTTTGAGTTTCCACCAGATAAGTAAATTTTTATAACGAAGCATTCATTCTTAACGAGTCGTAAACAATGATACACTGCGAAGAGATATCAAGTGTCACTAATCTGCAGCGTGAAGTACTATCTTACTTTCTCCTTACTTTTCCTTATTTATGTGTTCTTGTTTGTATTTCTGAAAATTAATCTCGCTCGATTATGTCATTTTAATGACCGTTACGTAAAAACGCACCGACGATGCGCGGCGTTAAAAAGCTTGCTCGTCAAGAGCGGCGATTATGAGTCGTGGAAAAAAAGATCCTCGGTCCAGAATGGATGCCGAGATAAGAGAAGGAACACAAGAACAACGAGCACGCCGCGTGTTTCGAGAATCTCAGGGTGTTTAGAGCACTCGTCCGTAAGAGTTATGGTCGCTAATCCGGGAAGGCTGCGCGTGCTTCAGGGCGAGAGCTGACGTATCGTCGACGACGACAGCCTCTTCGTGGATTCCTTCCGTCGGAGGGAAGCCGTGACTTTAAACCGGTTCGCATTTAGACTCGGCACTCGAGCGCGCGGGGAAAAATATCGATAATCCTTCTTTTGCAACCCCCGCCTTGTCTGCAACCAATCGCGAATTCGCGAGCGATTTAATTATTCTCTCAGTGTCGTCGCTTTTAAATAAGTGTTTTCCAAATTGCCGTTTATTAATTAAGTTTTACATTGATTTACTGTTCAGCTACCAATGTAAATGTAATTCTCGATTGAGTTTGCACAAGCGAGTTTTTATAGGAAGAAAGTATCTCTATTCAGAATCGCACTTTGCGTGTAAAAAAAATCCGTGAATTCTTGCAAAACTTTTAGATCAGTACTTGATCATGTACTTGAAGTGTGGAGATTTAATTGGACACTTGTGTCGATTGTACAGTCATGCGTGATGCGCAACCGGCGGGGTCACGGCTCGTGTTATATATCGTTATGGTTTGTCTATAGCGCGCCTATTCGCCGCTTAAAACGATTAAACGTCGTATTGGTTTATCGTGCGGCAATAAAGGCCGCACGATAAAGTCGTACGAAATAGCTGACACGTCTAATTATAGGATAGCTGATTATCGCTTAAACGCTGATCTAATTACTAGCGCCGCCGCTGCGCGCCGCGGCTTCTAATACAATTCATTGTGATTGTGGAAATCTAGAGATTTGAACGAAAATCTTGCGCGTGAGATATTACGTGATATATATATATATAATTATAAAGAAACTTTAACAATTTTTTTCTTGAATCGCAGAACATCTTCTGTCGATCACTATTTATTATAATTAATCTCCGAATGTTTTGATAGCTGTTATGACATTTTAATTCTCTCGCAATTTTTTGGATTCGTAATTTGCATTTTAATTCATAATTTAAAGTGGCTATATCGTGAAGTGATTTGATGCGATTAATCTTTTAAAGAATGTTATGACCTTGTTTATTTACTTTGAAATCAGGTTACGAATGTAATCAGTGCGTATCCGCATCAAAGCAAATGCGTAGTAAACAAGGGCAACCAGTTTGGAAGCGATCGCTAATTTCGCGATAACGCTATCGCGAAGACGGTGGTCTCGCTGTAACGTTACAGAAATTAACAGAAGTTACCAAAGTTCCGATAAACAGCACATAAATATAGAATATATTTCAACGAAGAATAAGTTCCATACTATTTACGACAAAAAATAAGACTATTTAAGATATAAATATTGATTGAGTTAATCGAATAAAAATCGGTACAAAAATTTAATCAAAAGACTCGACAACAATAAATTACGTAAAAATTACGATGCAGAGAGTGAAAATTTTTATCAAATACGTATCGTGTAATAACGATTCGCTACTTTGTACTTGTAGAAAAATATTTAATTCATTAGATTTTATTTCGATTTCTAAAACCGATGATAATTTGCGTCGCTTCGTATATAAAGAAAGTTGCTGCATTAATTAGAAAACTATTCAAGAATCCATCTCTCGATTTCGATGAAATTTACATTTAGAACTCGATTAAAGAATGATACGCTGAAAAAATTAGCTTCCGAATATTAATAGTTAAAAAAATTGGTGCAAAGATAGCTTCTGTTTGGCGCATTTCGTGCTAAATCCTGATAATAAAAATTTTATTTTTGTGACACGTATATTACTTAATCTGCTTATCCATTGATTCTATTCATAAAATTATCACAAGTTACACAATAAAACGTTTTTCACAAAATTCTTCATAATTTTTTAAGTATTAACATTCGGAAGCTAATTTTTTCAGCATTCTCCATCATTCTCTAGTTCTAAATGTCCTGTAAATTTCATCGAAATCGGGAGATGGATTCTCGAAAGGTTTCTTAGCGAGACGAGGTGAACAAAGCAATGTGATAATTGTAGCATTGTTACAATCGCCAAGATGACGTAGAGAAATGGAAGGAAAGCGTAGTAGTAGATAAGAGGCCGATCGAGCCGGCGAACCGAGTCGCGAGAAACGCGGTCGGGCCCCCGGTGGAAAATATCGCGTCCACCCTCGTTAAGTAATCGACTTCGCGTTGCATCCTCGTGATCGGCGATTGCGCCGCGCCGCGCCGCTCCGCGTGCGAGGGAGCTTCTCCAATTAATCAATGTCCGGCGAATGGCGGATACAACGCCTGTGCAAAACAGCGCACGGCGTATTTACTATAGCAAAACACGATAGCGACGGAGATAATAAACGCGTCGTCGCGGCGAAAAAAAAAGTCGTCGAAGGAGGACACGCGATTATCATGCGGTTGTTCCTCCTCTCGTTTGCCTTCTCTGGTCAAAATTCTCCTGCTGCTATCTCGCTGGTGTTAATTAACGGACAAGTTATGGTATGTTGTGAATTGCAAGCTGCTGCCGGATGGATCGATAAACCGCGGGGTTTGCGTAAACGAATGCTTGTAGAGTGAACTCTGGATTTTCGGT